CCTTTACATGCAATCTTACAACCCCGCCTTCCCGGGGTGCACTTTCTCAAGATTATTGAATGGTCGCTAAGCACGTAAACAAGAAAAATGCTGGCAAACCACGAGTTTTGGCGATTAATGCACTTCTTCACTCACTTGTTGCTCTTGCTGCAACCCGTCAGTGCAATAGCTTTCTATTGTTAACTTTAATCATAATGCAAAGACACCGCGAAAGCGAATTTTGCGCGAATTTGATGTATCACAAATCCGACCCCGGGCAGGCGGGTTACCCCACCTTGAAACGTTTACATGAAAAATTGTGACCCCGGCTGAGAGGGCAACCCGGTCTGGTAGACCGGGCTACCCGCCTTGGCGGGTCACCCCACCTATCATGTAAACGTGATCAAATGAAAATGAGAGATTATATGGACAGGCGGGTTACCCCACCTAAGCGGGTCACCTCACCTACCTGGGGTCCCCCACCTCCATGTAAACAGGCCCTTAATTACTATATACACGCTTGAACTTCTTTTGAAATACAGTGTGTTACATAATTATCTAAACAACGATTCCAGTTACTTCGGGCTCTAGATTTGCAAAACTTTTCATGAATTTTGTATGCCTGTCTTTGGTTCTTTACTTGACTCGACAAAAACCGTAATTTATCTATCCAAACGTGTTTATTAAATGTAGGTTAAATTTCTTGTATACGTTAAATATTTCTCAAGGTTAACAATATACAGAAATGTGCAACGTTGCGAAACCTCTTCAAGGGAAAGCCCCCTTCTTTAGCTGGCTGTGTTTCATTGGTCACGAGATTAGAAATCAGTATGCCAGGTGACAAAAACAGACAGAATATGAACTAATCACCCGTTACGAAAGTTGTAAACAAGGTTGTTGTCACGAAATAAAAGATTGAGTATCGACAACTAAAAAGCTTTTTATGCAGTACTCAGCAAGGTCCACGACGCTGCCAAGCAAACGGCTAAAATGGGTAAGGTTGAGATACCTATATTTTTTTTATAGAAAAGGAAAAAAATATTGGGGAAAATAATCGAACATTTTTTTTTCTTCCAAAATAAATATTTCTGGAAATTCTTTTTAAAAGTAACGACAAATTTACGCGTTTATTCTCAACACAGCAAAACTTTTACTCTTGTGTTATTTATGTTAATTTATTATTGATCTTCAGAGCTAGGTCTGCACTATAACGGGTAGGTTTTTATGCTGACATGAAAAATTATGCCGTATAGTGTAATGAACAGTATCGGCACAGAACAAAAAATATCGAACAGGAGGGTTGTTCACTTATTCCCAATCCTCACTTACATGGATGTTCCTTCCTCTTCTTATTTTCTTCCACCTATATCCGGATAAAGGACATTAATAATTATATAGTGCTTATAATAATAATAACGGTAATGATGATGATGATGATGATGACTGATGACTGATGAAAAGGATAACGATAAAGACAAGGATAAGGATAAGGTTAACAATAAAAATAACGACAAAGATAACGGTAACGACAAAGATAACGATAGTGATGATGATGATGATGATGATGATGATGATGATGATGATGAAACATTATTAGTAGCATCATCATTGTTACAGAAAATCTGAAAAGTTAATGAACACTTTGAGTGCCGGTGTAAATGCAACCAGTTCCAGGCTACTGTACCAGTGTACTAAATTTGTAGCAAGACTCTGCACTGAAAAATACGGTCCTTATTATTCTGTGGCGTAGACTGAAAATAACCCCCTTTTATTATTATTATTATTATTATTATTATTATTATTATGGCAGTACAAACGTCTGGATGCCCAGAGTAAAAAATAAAGGCTTTGGCTGGGCGGCAAAGTGTAACCAGCCGCAGCATCAACTAAAATTTATGGTAACAATTACACGATAATTTGCGCAAAAAGAAAAAAAAACTGGGTAAAAATGATTTGATAAGAGTGTCATAAAAGTTAAGTAAATAAATAAATAAAAACCTAAAAGCTTTATGGACGTCTTAATTACAAAATGAAAATGTTCGTAAGTTGAAACCCATCGTTCATATAGCTGTCCATTTAATTATGGGAACGACTAAGGTGTGTAAATAAAATTTCGATAATGTACAAAATTAAGTATCTGTTAAAATAGGTGTCCAAAATTCCTGTAGATAACTAAGCGCTCAGCTTGAACATTCTAGCAATGTGTAATGAACCAGACAGGATTGCCTTTTGCATTTGGCGCCTAATTGATTCACACTTGTCTCCTACAAGCTCTTTAATATTTTTCTCAACCTCTTTTGAACAGTCCTCAAAGACATCCATGATGATGTTATACTGATTGACCTTGTACTCAGGACATCGGTTCGTTAGCTTTAGTCTTAGTTGACTGTACTTCGCTGTCTTCTCGGAATCTTTAGACTCTCTATTTTCCAGCTATGGACAGCTCATTTCAATCACTCTGACTTGCTTGTGCTGCTCTTGTCAATGACCGTGGCGTCGATTCTATTAGGTTTTACTTGAGTTGTGTCAGCGAATAATGGCACGTCCCAGAAGGCGGTCGCATGCTCATTCTCATACAGCGGCTTGGGTGTGACTTGTGAGAATTATTATTATTATTATTATTATTATTATTAGAAATGGACACCGATGTTAACCAAGGGTCAGAAGTCCAGATCAGTGGCGGTTATAAGATCACAGGTGGTACCCCAACATTTCACCCAGCTCGGATTGAACACTCGTGTTTGATGACATCCGAAAATAAGTGGGAAATCCAGGTGAAATGTCGCCCCTTACTGCATGACATCCAAGAAGAGCCCAACCAAAGAAACAACTGGAGAAGCCTGATGTTGTTCTACCCCGACGCTAAAGTGCAATTGATACACAATGACATTGAAGTCACACTGCCATCTCTGCAGGAGGATGTCGAGATCGCTGCGTTCGGAAGACCAGGAAAAGATGACAAGAAAAGAATGCAAATGGCGATCTTTGCTAAACGACCAAAACAAGGAAGAGACTGGCAGATTTGGGTTTATCTTGTAGATGATACAAACCCAGCTTGTAAGGTATTTTTGCTCTTGCAATTTGTCTATTTTTAATATATACTAATGAGCATATAAACTATGTACTACGTACGCGCCAATAAAAACATGCACCAGTCACAAGTCCTAACGGTAGCTTACTCCGTTGAAATTTTTGCTTATTTAACCTTCAAAGCCAAGAAGGAAGATTGCAAGGACTTTATTTGTAAGCTGTAAATTTATCAGTACACTTAAGAGATGGAAGCCACCTAAAGTAAATAAGATTTTGAACGTTTTGATTTGCAAAAATAGCATTTTCCATTTTCCAAAAAACGTATCCAGAGGGGGCCTTTTTAAAACTTAGCATTGGGATCGCTGATTTTGCTTTTATGCTTCTTTCTTTCTATATAGTCACTCTTTATTTCTTGTTGTTTTCTCTTTTTGTATTTGTTTGTTTGTTTGTTTTTTGGGGGAGGGGGGGGGGGGGGGTGAGGGGTTGTTTTGATTCTTAACCTTTCCTTTTCATGCCAGAGAGGTTATCGGTATAATTGGACACAAATAACAGAATTAAAACCTCTTCATGCACTTTTTCCCCTTTTACCCATGGGTGCAACTTTCAATAAGTTTGTATTCAAAAGTACTAGAGATTTAAATTCGCAAAATATGGCTGCCAACACTTGGGTTACCATGCTATAAACTTCAGTTTGGACGAACACGTCCGTTTAAGACTTAAAAGTATTTCCAGATGTATTTCTTGAAAGTCGTTAAGTTTTTGGCGATCATACCTTAAAAGGACTTCAGGTTATTGAACTTCAAAGTTTTGGAGTAACGCAAACTTACTAACTTTTCTCATGCTTCATGTCTTCCAGAATTCTTCAGGGACTTTAGATATAGACCTATTCGGCTAACTCAATGTTGTACCCAATTCAAATCTCCCGGGGTTAAGATTCATTGTGTATTGTATTTGCATCATAATGTGGCATTCTCATTTAAATGTATGGAAATTCCTGAAACAAAAAGTTTTATTCCCAAAGGGTTTGAATTGGGTACAACATTGAGTTAGCCGAATAGGTCTATTACGCCGCTTAGCGAAAAGAAATCGTGCTAGTGTGCGCAACTGCTCAGTCACTTGCTCCTGTCTTAGAATGCTAACCGTCGTAAAACATCTCTTGTAATAACTCGATTTTGCTCTCCAAGGGGTTTTTATTTACAACAGTTATAATTTTTCGTCCGTTTAATGTAAACAGAAAATTTGCCAGAAAGGAGACCAGAGTGGACAAAGGCTTCTGACACCTCTTTCTGGAATATTTGTGTCTAACAGCAATGAAGACATCAAAATTGAGCTCAATTCATTGGGAGATGGATGGAAGGTCAAAGGAAGCAATGTGAAGGTACAAATGGAAAATTTTAACGAAGCTTTTTCTTAAGAAAAAGTTAATGATCGATAACGTTGCATATCATGAGTGAAATAAGTGACTCTGGTCGTATTTTTCTGCCTTTTAGCAGACTTCTCGGGGCTTTCCCATTTCTCATGCAGTCGCCGGTTGAAACACGATCTACTCCTCTCAAATCCCCTTCTTTTAAATCTCTCCAGTAACTCCTCCCTAGCTCTTCATCTTTTATTCTATAGTTAATGTGCTTAAAATACCGACCATCTATTCAAATCGCATTTAAACTAGACAATTTCTTCCTAACGGTCTTACTGGCGATATAAAAGGAAAGATGCATTTGTACTACCGCAGAGAAAAAACCTTGCAAGAGTTTGTTAGAATGATCACGGACCATCTATTTCTTCTTAAAAGACAGTCGAGAGCGTGAATGAAAATAAAAACCGCGATATATAAATATTGATCCCAAGTGCAAGGAGCTGAGGTAACAAAGGGAAAACGTCTTTGAACAAGCTATGCCAGCGTAGAAATTGCCTTTATACACTAATAACCTCAGTGAACATATCTATCAGTTCTTAACCTTTCACTTTTCTTGCAGACCATCAAGTCAAGAGATGCATGGAATTCAACAGAAAGCTCTACTGACCTTCCACGTTGCTATTTCGATATATGTCACGTTAACAACGCGAATAATTCATTCTTCTGTGAAATCAAAACCTCCCATGAAGGTGACTCTGCACACGCGGAAGTTGTGGCATATTTTGAGCGAGTAAGTTTTAAGTAGTCCGTAAGGGATAACTCAGGTGACCACCAAGGAAATGAAAAAAAGTTGGTTGTTACTAGAGATGGTCGCTAAGGAGAATAAGCTCTCTTAAGCGACATATTCACCATTTTCACATAAACCATAATGCACCATGTTCAACCCCCAAAGTTTTGCATAACCGTTGTCTTGTTTTCTCTTGGGACGACTGTAATACCTAGGAGAAATTGGAAACAATGGTTATGCAAAATTCTTGGGGTAAACAAGGTGCATTATGGTATACGTGAAAGTAGTCAGTTGCTTAAACAATAGGGGACGGTCGCTTACGAGAGCTGCAGAAACCCTTCGCGTTCGTCAGAACGCATCCTAATCTTGGTCCTCCTGTGATACAAAGCCACAAAATTTTGAGGTTTCGCTGGCGACTGCCGATTAGCAGCCCCTACTGATTTTATCAGGGGAAACTCGGCCGGAACCTGGACCCCTTTCGACTGGATTTTGTCTTCGTAAGTGACGAACGCTGATCCGTGATCAATGATAACCGCCATTAATAGTTAACAAAGAGAAAAAAGAAAAATAAAACAAAAGAAATGAATGTTTAATGAGCGACTTTGCATCTGATATAGACACGACTTAAGTAACGTCCAATAAGCTCAGTGTTCAGTTTCCACAAAGTGTTGGTATTCGCCGAGTGGTCGCTTGCGACAGCATAAAAACAAAGGCAACGTCCAGTTGGGTAATCTCGAAACTGGTCGCAATCACTTAAGGGTGAGGTCGCTGTCATTACAAGGCTTAAGTCACAGTTCAAACGGAGTTTTTCAAAGGTAGTCGTAATTAGGACTGGTCGCTTACGAGAGTAGTGGTGAAAAGGAAACCTTCGACTGTATTTGGGAAAACCAGGATTTGTTTTTTTTCTTTAACAAGAACTTCTTATTCCTTCATTCTGTAGGAAACAGGTCTGGAACTCGTTCAGTCTTCTGCAGATGTCGACAAACTGGGTAATTCTTGCAACTTCTTTTCAAAAGGTAAGATCATAGTGATTTCAAAATTATTAATAAGTTATGTACGCTTTCTATAAACAAACTTTTTGTTCTGTTTTGTTTTGTCTTAACTCTTCCATGTGTTTTATTTTTCAGAAATAGACACCTCAATTCCATTGTTTCTTTTTTTTCTTTCTTTGCTCTACGATCCTCCGGCATCTCCCCCAACTTTCCCTGCAGGTATGTTTAAAGCACTTTAAGATAAACAGATAAAAAAGATTTTTGTCACGGCCGTCAAGTTCATTGAGTTAACACAATGCCTATATATAACACGTCTTTACTTGCTAAGGAACGTGAAAAGTAAAACATTTACTTCCGTGTCGAAGACAAAATCACAACTTTGTAACAAACATCTCCCCAAAGCGTTATATCAAACGTTACAAACAGCAAGAATGAAATATGAAACACTGTTCGCTAACAAGTTTTAAAAAATGGCCTTCTTTTGTAAGTACTGTCTTGCTGTTTGAATTTTGATAAATTTCATGAAACAGTTCCTTTAATTTTTTTACCTTGCTCACAGGGGCTGGTCCATTCTAAGCTACTTGCCATGAATAAAGGATTTGAAAGACCCGAAAGGAAACAATACTCTGATTCCCTGACAAATTTCGCGAGTTTGCGAGGCGCGCATTTCTTGTCAAGTATACAGTACTATTTTAGGTCTGAGATACGATCAGCCTAAATAGCTTTTTTCGTGTTTCTGGTTAGAATTAAACCAAATGTGAACTTAACTTAAGGTACTGTGATCAGATCCTAATTTCTTGAATTTGTTCAACAGAAATAACTGCAACGCGGCAAAACTTCACGACGATGAAGTTTGTATCAAGAGAAGCACTGTGGACGCTTGTATTAATTTCTTCAGGCAAAAAAATCTTCTTTTAGTGTGCCCAACAGCAAAAGCTACACGCACCTGTTCACCTGTATATTAAGTTTGACTGCTTTAAGGCACAGTGAAGCATGCTGAAAGTTGTTTTGTGACACTTTTTCAACATTTAACATGTTTTTGATCCGTTGGAGTTTAAAAATAATAATTAAAAAAAGAGTCGAGTTCTGAGTTATAATTCAAATGGTCCTTGGTGTAAGTGGAACTGGCTAGCTGCAAGTTGTTGCAAAAGATCTGAGGTGCAAAATTACCACTGCGCGGTAAGCTCAGTTGGATAAGCGCCGGTCTGCCGGTCTTCTCCATAACTGTGGAGAAAGTGCTGCCTTTGTAAAGACATCTGCAAATGGTTAGGCTTTCTAGTCTTCTCGGATAAGGGAGATAAACCGTAGGCCCCGTCTCAGAACCCTTGCATTTATAACATGTATAAATTCTGTGGGACGTTAAAAAACCCACACACTGTTCTCTCATGTGGGAAGGGACTGTTACGGGCCCGCAGTAATTGGCGTCATGCTGTTGCGGTGACCCTGACAGTAGTTGGCGAATCTAATAAAATAAAAATAATTTAAAATGCATTCGAAAGTCCCAATAAATAACGTGCCCAGAAAGCTGTTGTTATTTAAGTTCAAGGTAGAGGCAAAACCTAAAAACAACAAAGTATGATTAAAGCTTTCTGAAGCCATTTTAAGCATTTTGAGAGACTGCTGGCGGAAAACTTTATCTGTTCCTCACTCCCAGCAAGACTGATAGAAGTCAGTTCTAAGCCCAGCAAGGTAAACCTACAACCTGCAACCAGACTCTGGAAATTTTCCCAGCAGACATTACTGACCAGTTTGGGTGTGGTCAGAGGGCGGAATTCACCCTCTCAGTGGGTGGGAAGGGGGAAGAGGCTTCTAACAAATAACACATGCCAGCTATTGCACATAAAATCCCCTCGGACACCCTGAATTGTCTTTTCTCCAGCAACACTTTCTTTCCACGGACATATTATTTCTTCCACTTCTCCCAGCCATCAAAAATTGGCCTGAAGAACAGATATTTTGTGGAACAGATCCCTTGGGTGCCCTTGAGTTTCCGTACAATTAACCTGATGAAACTATTCGTTTATAAAAACAAAAAATGGACTGGTTTGTTGGCTATGAATGTACCCGCCAAAAACCACAACCTTTAATTCGGAACTACATGGATATGTTACGTGTCAAAGTCATGTAAGAGAACCAACTTCACGATAAACATGGTTCCTAGATGGAATACAAAACGCATGAAAACTGCAGAAATAAAATGAAAAACTTACACTAACACTTAAAACGACGAAATACAGAAAACGCTAACAAAGGAAACTTAGAAACACGTGTTAAGACGTCCGGCAAGTACGATGAAAACCGATTACTAGATGCAAAAACAAATACAACTTAAAACTTAGCACAAACATGGTGAGCACCTTTTACATGTTAACGACCGCGCAGTCCTGGGCCTATGTAAAATCCCACTGGTCGGGTAAATGATAAACCGAATTTCAACCAAAAAAATATTATTAAAGCAAAAAACAAAACAAACAAACAAAAGAGCAAAAAACAAAAAAACTGGAACTAAAATGACCTACGCTTTTGTTCTTTTGGCTATGTTTATACTATATTTTCCGATCCGGTCAAGAACCATAGCTCTTGGATCTGTCATAGTATGAACAGCAACGGCCGCCTGAACTGGAACACTACGTGTCGTTTACACACAGAATATCGCGCTATGGTTGGCTGAGAGGGTTTGGTGCTCTAAATTCCACTCCTCATTCCTGAATGTTTACTTCCGTCCCAGTGGGTTCCAGTCCTCGTTCCTACCTATTTGCTAACAAGACGGCCCGAATAGGTGTTTACACTGCACCAAAGTGCATCACGAAAGCTATCCGACATCTTTTGCATTGATCTTTCTCATACTTTCTTCACAAAACATGCATATGGAGCTCTGACACGACGCAATTCTTAGCCCCATACACACACAGGGACAAACAGTACCTCAGCCGTTTCAAGGGGCGAAACAAAATGCGAACCGAAACTTAAACAGAAACTTCTAAAAGCCCGCAAACCAGAAAGGCGAAAACCCGACTAAACGATATGACTAAAAAATACAGGACCACAATAAGAGAAACACAAAACCTCAACAGTTGGAGTGTTGGCTTAGGTCCTGCCTTCATCCTGAGCACAACCTGGTGGACCTGAGTACGTAAGCATTGGTCAGCCTTCCTGATTAAAGCACTCCGCTATAACTACCAATTCTGCAGCCGGTGGATAATAACCGAACTCGTTGGCGGCCATCGAGCGAGTAAGTCGGGTTCTACTGATAGTCGCCAAAAGTTCTTCGTGTCCAACAAGGTGAAGTGAATGGGACAATGCGTGCCACTGTTTCCTATTATATATACTCATTTGCATATCATCAATTAATCCTCAGGGCTAATATTTACAATTCAGACGGAACGTGGATACTACTATAATCGAAACCTCTTTCTTGAATATAAAAAGCAACAGCTTTCTGTTATCGTTAATTAAACAGGACCTTCGAGAAATGGGCCGCCCCTGCCCAGTAACAAGCCTCGTTTAAAAAGGAGAAGCGTGCGCCAAATATTTGAAAGCACGACGAAGAAAGTGGCCCTTAAGTTATCAAGAATGGCAATGAACTTGTATTTTCATTTGTTTATGGAAACTCAGAGTTTCCAATGACAGATTTACTTAAAGGAGTTACACTTCTTAAAGTAACAATGTCGTTGCTACAGTCGACTCTCTCTTAACGGACACCTCTATAAGAAGGACACCTAGTGTTGATCCCTTCCTTTCTTTCCTCCCTCTATTTGACTCTCTATAAGACGGATATCTCTCTGAGACGGACAGCTAGTGCTGGTCCAAAAGGTGTCCGTCTTAGAGAGAGTTGACTGTATAACTGCAGAAAAGAATACTCATGCGATTATTCTAATGTGGCAGTTAATTATGTTTACAAATACCTGTTAGGCAATGACGTACAGCAATGTTAATATAAACAGGGAAACAGGCAAATGAGAAACAGTGGCGTAATAACGTGGTGAAAGAAATGAGATCGAATGCTTGAGAATATGAAACAATTGTTCATGTTGCCGATACAAAAGGAGCAAGATCACCAATCTAAGATTAAAACAGACAGTAGACAGTAAATCGGCAGCTTATACAACACTTATCCACTAATACACTAAAAAAACGAAACATATGTTTTATTCATTAAAATTAAACGATGAAAGGGGGGGAAATATGATATTGACAGTTAAGAGTGTAGCACGAGTGCGAAACTGCGCGAACGTGAAGAACTAAGACCACCTTTATGGCTAATTTCTTTTGGCTTAACTTGCTGGTCTGGATTATATGTATTTTGCATGCGATTATGTATACTGGTAGGTGTTTGTTCACGTCTTAATCTTTTCACCGGTTCCAATTTAGGTGCAGTTTCTTTGGTAACAGTAAATGGGTTGATATCAGCTCCGTTTCATTCTACAGGCATTCTCAGTGGCCCATCTCATAAGTTTTTGTTCTGTTTTGTTTTGTTTTGTTTTGTTTTTTGCCTCATTTATTCTTTTTATTATCATCATTGTTTCTAAAACGTTGTGGAGAATGAAGTGGAGAAAGACATTTTTTAAAAATAATTTCTTGGTTTTTTTTTGCACTTTTTACTTTCAAGACACAAAAATATGGTTTGCAATCATTAATGAAATGAATGTGCCGAAATAAATGCCTTCACTCTGATCTTAATTGAACTTTTACCAAAGCATGGGTTTCCCATATTAACGCATTTTCAATATACAACATGCCATTGAATTGAAGGCGCTTTCGTATGACAAGTTTCTTAGAAAAGCATAGAGATGAATATTATTTTAAAAGTCAACAGAATTTCGCTGCAAAGTTCTTTTAGTGTTCGTGAAGGTTTCTTACCTTCAACTACGCAGAAGCGTTCAGTTAGCAGTTTATGTCTGGTCGTTCGCCAGTTTTTGCTTATATCCCCGTTAAGGTTACACAGTGGAGAAAGCGTAGCACTGTTGAATATCACAAGTTTTACAAAATGCTAAGCCATGCCAGTTCCTGTTTCTGCGAAGAAACCTTTGAGCACAAATTAGATAGCGACAACACCTGCACTCTCCGGCTTAGGCATTGCGAATGGCGGTAGATTCTTGTCTCGAATTCAAAGCTAGTGTTATGGAAACACTGGTGATACTTTGTACTTTCACTACTTTCACTAAACAGGGATTCAGGGCCATAAAACGAAAGGAAAAAGGCAAATTCGTATTCATAAACCAGCTATATTGATACCAGTCACGTTTTTACATAAGTATCAATATAATTATGACTGTGCAATAGACAACATATTTCGGCGAATACAGAAAACTTTGACATTGATTCTTGAAAAGAAAATAAGCTAAAATAGATTTTCAACGGTAAATTTTTGGAAAAAGGAATTTATCCTTTAGAAAAAAAAAAATCAGTATGGTAACTTATTTTATTTATCAATTTATTTATATTCGACGCGAATTTAGGGGTTTAGGAGTTAGCCTTCTTGATAGCTTTAAAGCGACAATATTCACAAGAAGATGAAAGCCGGCTACATCCCTTCAAACCGTAAATTTCCACCATCGTTTATTGTAATCTTATTCTAATATAGTCCAGTTGAGGCGAAAAACCCAATATGGCACCTGAATTCTTTCGCAGGTGTTAAACGGAAGATAGATTTACAGCAGTTTTTTTTTAGAATCTCTTAGTCCTCTTTAAATTATTGCTTCATATAGTTTTAGTTTATATTGAATCTGTATTCAGAATTATAATCATTATATTTTGATTTCAGCAAAATATACCAAGGACATTTTCAAGCATTTTGTTTTCAAGCGCCAAAAATAGTAGCTTTAACAAAACATGCAAATACTTAGTAAATACGTGGGTTCAAATTACAAACTGCAATTGTTGCTAAAATACAATTCAACAAACGTTCAGCCTGACAGAATTTTTTTTTTCATATATTCACAACATTATTTCAGTCTATGTAACTCGTTGACAGCCATGCACGCGAATATGATTTATTGGATAGGATTAGCTTTATCCACCAACACCTTTGGGTTTTAAAACGAGACCATGCCATGTACATCATGATCAGTGTTTTTTCCCGTGTTTTCATGACAACCAATCCGGGTTAATTGCGAATTCGATAAGCACGGCTGCCCCAAGCTGCACTCTATCAATATTTGGATGCTTTTTTGAACCTTATCAAGGACTTTATTCGCGGCAAGCTTAATCTAAGTGAAATAAGCTTTCTGAATTACAAGATCTTTCAACATAGTCGCAAATAAATTAAAGCGGCTTAGATAAATAAATGAATAAATAAAAAACTAACTTAGTAATTGAATAGGTAAATATCTAGAAAGATGAATAAATAAATAAATAA